ATGACGTAAGGGGGGCTTCTTAAAAGGCTGCACGTGGGGACCGGGCGCTCTCTTTGTTCTGGCTGCGCTGGCTGGGTTCTTAACCTAGCTCTGGCCTGTGTTTCACCCGGCTGTGCTTGGAATAAAGAGACTTTAATCCAATACAAGTGTAAGGCATTTACGAACTGTCTTTAATTATAAGAAAGTCAACAAGCTCTGACAGATTGGAATCCTTCATTTTGAGACAAACTTGACTGAGACCTTAATGAGCTAACTACAGTCTCACACCAACTATGATCTCCTCTCTTGTCTTGAAATTTAGCTATTATAATTATCTTTCCCCCTAAGAAACATAATAAAAATGGTGCCAGGTGGTGGCAGCTCATGCCTTTAATCCCAGCACTTGGGAAGCAGAGGCAGAGGCAGGCAGATCTTTGCGAATTCAAGGCCAGCCTGGTCTACATAGTGAGTTCCAGGACAGCCAGGGCAAGCTTTGCTTGCTTTAATCTTTAGTGTGTATTACGTGTGTTTCTGTATGAGTGTGTAGAGCCACAGGACAACTTTAGATGTTGGCCCCTGCCTTCCACCTTCTTTGAGACAGGAGCACTTTTTATTGAGGCCTAAACCAGGATAGCTAGCCCTTGAGTTTCCCAGGATTCTCCACTTCTGAAGAACAGGGTTTCCAAGAATTCTATCTCCACTTCTGTAGAACTAGGTTAGTGGGCAGGCAGGTGCTTTACATGACTTCTAGGGTTTCTGGAGATTTGAATTTAGGTCGAGCACTTTACCAACAAAACCAGCTCCCAAGTCCAGTGATTATTTTAATCTAGATTTTCATGATCTATCCCCCAACTCCCAACCCCAATTACCAAGAAAGGTGTATTCTGAACACCCATGGGCTTCGAGGAACAGTTGGTCCCCATTTTGGTGCTCATGAGTCAGTCTGGAAAACAGCAAACAGCCCGGTTAAAGTCCTGAGACAATCTCATAAGGAGCCCACCAGAGGAACACTAAACAGAAGCAAAATTCTTGCCTTTAATGCGCTTGAATGCAAACTTTGAAGTAAACTTTCCCTTGGAATGGTCACATTGTACATCTGAAGACATAGTTCATAGAGAGCTCCATGGCTCAAATAGCAGAGAAAGAAATGCTACCCGCATTTGATAAAGGAAAATACCTAATTTCAGACACAATGAGAGACAAAGCACCTGGAATCCCATCCCCTTATTTCATTCAAAGTCCCCCTATCTGCCTCTCCCACACAGAGAGCCCTGAGACTTCAAAGTCAGGCAGAAGTGATAGACACAGATGGGTCTTTGATGCCTGAGAACTTCAGAGCCCTCCGTCTGAGTCTGAGAGGGGGGCATCTGCAGTTTTCAAACCTGCCATTTTATCTAGCACTGTAGACAACAAAAGCATCCAAGTTTTGGGTGACATATGTTACATGCATTAAAATCTTTGGAACCAGTAACTTTTGATTTCTTTTTCTATTATTTATAGCCCCTTTTGCTCCACAAACAGCACTGGATAGTAAATTACTTCTGGCACTCAGCCTTGTCAGCTTGCCAGACTCCAACTGGAGCGAGTTTTTACAACCCAGCTAATAAGCCCTAAAATGAGGAGGTAGGTATAGTGGAAATAATGACACGTTTTTTAACTGCAGGAGCAGAGTGACAACAGAACAGTCTAGTAGATTCTACTTCTTAACATTTTTTCTTCTAATCAAATTGCCACAATTTTTTAGGCCATTGTAGTTCAAAACACATGTAAATGGAAAGGGTTTCTTTTAACTGAAAAAAAAATTAGTTTTGTGTCTATTGGTCCTGTAGTCCTGTAGTTTAAGTTGCTATTTTTGTAAACTTGGAAAATAAATGAATAAATAGATGAAGGAGGAGCAGTTGAGAATAGAAAGAGCAAAAATATGGGTAAACAGTTTGGGTAAACAACCTGACTACTAAAACTAACTACTATCTTTCAAAACCGTATTCCAAAAGGACTGGCTTCTAGACCTGGCAATTGTCTGTGTATGAATGCATTCTACAAAGGCCATGGCTGATTAGCTACAACTACTATTTCTCCCAATTTTCCCAACTGCAGTCAAAATTAAGTTTTAGTCTTTTAAATGTTTTTTGAACATAGGTCCAAAAAAACTGAAAGTGAGTATCATATTTGATTTTTATCATTGAAAGGAACTTAAAAAGTAGTATCCCTTTCTCTAAACTTAATAGTGACGTCTGATACGAGTCATAATTTACAAGCACAAGAAAAACTCTTTTGCCTCCATCCCATTCTGCTTCCCAATTAGACCTGGTCTGATTAGCCTCAATACCACATGCTCAGTCAGAAAACATTGATGCAAAAAATTATGTGAAGTAAGTGTGTGTGTGTGTGTGTGTGTGTGTGTGTACACTAAAATAATGTGGCCCTGCCCTCAAAATATCAGCTTTCTAATAATTTCTAATATTTTCTCAACAATGTCATGCTATTTTATACCTCACTAAACAGACATAAACTATTCTTTGTTTCTGGAAGGTTCATCATCTATTCAGCAAGCTTACTTAATTAAAAAATTAATTACAATTAAAAATTAAATTTGCAAGCCAGGCAATGTGGTGCACTCTTTTAATCCAAGCACTCAAATGACAGAAACAGGCAGATCTCTGTGAGTTCCAAGCCAGCCTGGTCTACAGGGAAAGTTCCAGGATAGGCTCCAAAGCTATAGAGAAACCCTGTCTCAAAAAAGCAAAAAATAAGTAAATAAATAAATGGATAAATAAGTAAATAATTAAACTTGTTTTTAACACACTACCATTACAGTCTGATCTACAGAGTGAGTTCCAGGACAGCCAAGGCTACACAGAGAAACCTTGTCTTAAAAAACCAAAACCAAGCCTGGCTGTGGTGATACATGACTTTGAGCCCAGCCCTCAGGAGGCAGAGGTAGGCAGATCTCTGGAAGTTTGAGGCCAGCCTGGTCTACAGAGCTAGTTCCAGAACAGCCAAGAGAGACACAGAGAAACCCTGTCTCTAAAAAACAAAACATAAAACAGATAACACACAACCCCTGTTTTTTCTTGTTTGGTTTGGTTTGGTTTATTTAATCCCAAGTGGTGAAGTTAAAGGCTTTTGCCAGCTGGCTTACCTAAATTAGGTGTATTTATATAAAGGGCTCTGCTTGCTAGATTTACCCAGGCCTATGATTTCAAAAGCCATTACTTACTGTTTTTTGTTTTGTTTTGTTTTATGTTTTGTTTTTGTTTTTTTGTTTTTTTTCGAGACAGGGTTTCTCTGTGGCTTTGGAAGCTGTCCTGGAACTAGCTCTTGTAGACCAGACTGGTCTCAAACTCACAGAGATCCACCTGCCTCTGCCTCTGCCTCCTGAGTGCTGGGATTAAAGGAGTGAGCCACCAACACCCGGCTGCCATTGCTTATTGTTGCTAGTATAGTATATGTATGTTTGCATCTGTGTGTGTGCATGTGAGTATGCATGCACTCGGTGTGTGTAAGCCAAGATTGACATGGAGAGTCTTCCTCCATCACTTTCTACCTTGTACATCGGGCAGGGTCTCCTGCTGAATCTGGAGCTTGCTCTGAAGATTTCCAGTCAATACCTGTAGATAAGGAATTACTGCTGAGTCACCACATCCACCCAG